CTTGTCTCCACCAGGCTGAAGAACAGATTGGGTTGTACCTATCACCATGAAAACGTTTGTCCCTGATACTACAGCACCTGATTTCTTTATTACCTGACTCTCATATTCAAGAAGACGTATGGAGCACAAGTGGGATAATGCTTGCCTAACCATTTGATTCTAAGGCTAAAGAAAACCAACTGCTTCTTGACTTTGGAAAAAGCTTATAGAAACACCATAGTTGTGCTGAGAATTTCACCCCATACACCGGTGGTCCATTCTCAGTTGGACCTTCCGAAGATGCCTCAAAAGAAAGGGCTGATGCCTACTTTCCAAAACTCCAGCCACTGAAAACCCAATGGAATATAGTTCTATTATGACACACATGGGTTGTTTGTCCTGAGTTGTAATCAGTGAGACAGCAACTGGTTTGGGGATTTTATTGTTGATGTTCATTACTTATATATTGAGCTGTGACCTGCAAAATTTTGTGTTATAAATCCTAAGGATTGACAAGACAAGGAATCACTTATCTGTCATTTGTTGTACTGTGGTGGGGTGTGTGTTACTGGAAACTTTGTCACTGATGTTTCAAACACCAGAGGGTCATCCCAAGTGAAAGGTTTCAGCAGAGCTTTCAGACGAATAACAGACTACCAAGAAAGAGTATCCATTTCTACCCACTCAGAAGTATAGCCACTTCTGAGAAATTAGCCACGGAAAACCTTGTGAATAGAAGGGTAGCATTGTCAGATAGAGTGCCAGAATCTGAGCCGCTCAGGTCAGAGACACTCAAAATATAACAGAGGGAGAGCTTCTGGAGCTTTCATTTGCTGATGGTGCACAACTCTAAATGAAAAGAAACAGATCCGAAAATCAAGTAGCTGGAACTTGAAATGTATGAAGGCTAAATCTAGAAAAGTTATAAGTTGTCATAAATGAAATGGAATATATAAAAATTGATATCCTAAGCATTAGTGAGCTGAAATGGGTTGATACTGACCCCTTTTTTTTTAAGCTGGGGCCCCAAGGACAGCCTGTCACCGAGGCTTCACGGTGCCTGTGCCATACTGACCATTTTGAACTTAAAAAGTCATATAGTTTACTGTGCCTTGAATGATAAATTCAAGAAAAATGGCATCATATTCATTGCAAAAAAAAGAAAAAGGCATTTCAAAATATATCATGAAGTTGGACTTTGGGCCTCTACTTAAATCTTACCTCAGCATAAGAACGGTTTCTTCTTGGGCCTCTACTCAAGAACTCCCTCAACACAAGAATGCTTTGTTCTAATGACCTGGCATTCTGTGATGCTCACCTTCCCTACACAATCACTGATGACAAAATGGGTGCATAAGCAAATGTGGTGAAGAAAGCTGATGGTGCCTGGCTATTAAAAATTATATCTGGGGTTTTAAAGGCTTGAAGATAAGTAGCCATCTAGCTGGAAAGCAACGAAGCTCACATGGAGAAAGCACACCAGCCAGTGTAATTATGAGTTGTTGACAGGATCAGGTATCAAGCATTAGAAGACCCAAGACAAACAATTATATTGATTCAAATGAGGGGGTCGCAGAGTGGAGACCCAAAGCCCATCTGGAGACAATTGGAGATCCCGTCACAGAAGGGTCACAAAGAAGGGACAAACCAGCCAGGGCGCAGTATAGTACCGATGAAACATACAACCTTCCTCTAGTTCTTTAATGCGTACCCCCACCCCCCCACCCCACACCAACTATCATGACCCCAGTTCTGCCTTACATATCTGGCTGGACCAGAGCATGCACACTAGTACAGATAAGAGCTCTTGACACATGGAATTCAGGACAGACAAACCCCTCAGGAACAATAATGGGAGTAGCGATACCATGAGGGTGGGGGGATGGTTGGGGGAAAAGAGGGAACTGATTGCCATGATCGACAGATAACCACCACCACCACCACCCCTAGGGTGATGAACAACAGAAACGAGAGAGCAGATGGTGTAAGATATGAAAATAATCATTTATCATTTTTCAAGGATTCAGGAGGGTGGGAGGGTGGGAGAGGAAGAAAAAAAAAAGGGGGTTGCTGTTACCAAGGGCTCAAGTAGAAAGAAAATGTTTTGACAAGGATGATGGCAACATAGGTACAAATATGCTGGACACAATGGATGTATGGATTGTTATAAGAGCTGTAAGAGTCCCCAATAAAATGTTTGTTTTTTTTTAAAAAAAAGAAGTTTGTTCTAATAATGTGGCACTGTATGGTACTCACCTTCCCAACATGATCACTGAAGACAAAATGGGTGCCTCAGCAAAGGTGGTGAAGAAAGCTCTTGGTTCCAGGCTATTAAAAGATATAGATAGCATCTGGGGTCTTAAAGGCTTGAAGTTAAAAAAACAGCCATTAAGCAGGGAAGCAACAAAGCACACATGGAAGAATCATACCAGTCTTAGTGATCATGTCTTAGTGATCATGAGGTGTTGATGGGAATAGGTTTCAGAAATTCAAAAACAAGCAATCAAATTGACATGAAAGAGCATAGACAGAGTGAAAATCAAAGCCCGCCTGTAAGACAATTGGACAGTCCCTCACAGAAGGGCCCCATGGAAGCGATGGTATATCCAGGGTGTAGTATAGCACTGATGAGACACATAACTATCCTCTAGTTCTTTAACACTTCCTCCTCTTGCTATTATGGTCTTTGTTTTACCTCATGAATCTTGTTAGACCTGCATATGTTCATTTGTATAAGTAAGAGCATTTGATGCATGAAAGCTAAGATAGATTAAACCCTTCAGAAACAGTAATGAAAGTAATGAGTCCCTGAGGGTACAGGAAGAGAGGGGGTAAGGGGAACTGATAGCAATGATGACTATAAAACCCCATTGTAGGGGAATGAATAACAGAATTGTAGGTAAATGGATATATTGGATGGTGTAAGGTACAGTAAATAACAATAATATATAATATAATACTATGGATTTGTGGGGGGTAGGGTGGAGGAGGGAGGGAATAAAGGGGAGTTTATATCAAAAAGTTCAAAAAGAAAGAAAATGTTATGAAACTGATGGTGGCAGCAATTGAACAATTATGCTTGATCTAATTATAGATTTGTATAACATATATAAGAGCTCCCAATAAAATGATTTTTAAAAATCTATCATGAAGTACAGTGCTGGCAGTGATGGGATAATGTCTATCAGAATACAAGGAAATCCAATCACTACAATTATTATTCAAATTTAAGCACCAATCACTAATGGTAGTTATGAAGAAGTTGAAGACTTTTTACCAACATCTGCAATCTGAAATTGATTAAACATGCAATCAAGATACATTGATAATTATTACCAATTGACATGCAAAAGTTGGAAACAAAGAAGTAGTTGGAACATATAATCTTGGTGATAGAAATGAAACTCTAGATCACATGATAGAATTTTGGAAGACCATGGACAACTTCATTGCAAATACCTTTTTCAACAACACAAAAAGTGACTATGCACCTGGACTTTCCCAGATGGAATACACAGAAAACAAATTGACCACTTCTGTAGGAAGAGACTGTGGAGAAGCTCAAAGCAGCAGCTAAAACCAGGCCAGGCGCGGACTGTAGAACATAGCACCAATTGCTCATATGTAAATTGGTGCTGAAGCTGACAAAAATTAAATCTGTTGGTGAGACGGTCTAAAAATTCCGGTGGGTGTATTCCAGGTCGTGTTCTGGCTCTTGCGGACTTGTTTTAATTTTCTTCCTTAAAACAAGTCCGCAAGAGCCAAAATACCACCTGGAACACACCCATCTGGATTTCTAGACCGTCTCAAGAACAGATCTAATGCAAAGGACACTAATGAAAGAAGACTCGATGTGCTGTGGGAGCACATCAAGGGCATCATTCGTTCCAAAAGCAAAAGGCCATCAAACGTGCGAGCGGGAAAGAAAAGCTTCTTCCAGAGGAGGCACCCCAGATTCTAACGTCTAGCGTCCTACATCATGAGACGATGAATTTCCGTTTGCTAAAGCCCCACTGGGTAACAGAGATCATCAGGAAGAAAGAGGTGTGGATTGCTTTAGCGTTGACAAAACCCTTTGTTACCTCTTCTCTCAAGACCCTAACTCCTTCCCACTCGCTCTCATCTCACGGTCTTCTCCTTTCTTACAAAGATCAGAGAAAGTGTGTGGCAATGTCCTCAATGTTTTCTTTACCACAGAATCTGTTATGATAATTCCTGTTGTCTTCCTTCTCTGCTTCAACCTAATGCTCAGACCCTCTCACCCTAAGTGCAGTGCCCCATGGGGAATTCCCCTGCAGTCTCTACTGTGAGTTTGGAGCCCTGCAGTATCTGAAGGTTTAAAAACTGGGTCCTTGGCTTGAAAAGAGTAGAACAGAGTGAAGGCGAAGGGGGAGAGGCCTACAAGGTAGCTCATAACAAGTGCTATGAGGCAAGAAGAAAAAAAATATGCTATAGCCTTGTTAAAATCCAGTAAAAAATCTAAGACAAAAACACCTCCCACCAGGTAAAAATGTTCACTCCTGAAATTCTGTAATCACATGGTAAAATAGTGGAAATAATAGTTATTACAGAAAGATTCATTGCCAACCTCACATATGCAGACGATACAATCTTGCTTACTGAAAGCAAAGAGAAGTTGAAACAGTTAGTGATGAAGATCAAGGATTTCAGTACAGTACGGAATGTGCCTCAATTTCAAGAAAACAAAAATCCTCACAACTGGACAATAAGTAACATCATAATAAACAGAGAAGAGATAAACTTTGTCAAGGATTTAATATTAGTTTGATTTATAATCAACGTCCTTAGAAGCAGCAGACAGGAAATCAAATGATGTGCTGTTTGGGGCAGATTACTACAAAAGACCTCTTTAAATGATTAAAAAGCAAATTAGTCATTTTAAGAATTAAGGTGTAACTGACCTAAACCAGGGTATTTTCAATTGCTTCATATGCATGCAAAATTTGAACAATGAATAAGGAAGACCAAAGAAAAATGATGTAGTTAAGTTGTTAATGATGAAACTTACCTGGTTGGGGAGATTCCATGACCATGAAGGTGGTTTTCCCAGGGCGAGGCTTATCCATTGCACCCCGTATGTGCTGGCCCCTGCGATTTCCCCAAAAGTGGGAAACTCGACTGCATATCTGTGGTAGTGGGGGACGGCGTCCGTGCTCTCCCCTGTTAATAAATAAATAAATTGTTAATGATGAATATCGAATATACCATGACCTGACGGAAGAATCAATGACTCTGTCTTGGAAGAAGGGAAGATGACATGACGCCTTCTCATATAATTTGGATGAATTATCGGGGGGACCAGTCCCTAGAGAAGGACATCACGCTTGGTAAAAGAGAGGGTCAATGCAAAAGAAGACGCTCACTGGGATGGACTGATAGTGTGACAGAAACAATTGGCTCAAATATAGCAATGATTGTGAGGATGTCACAAGACTAGGCAAAGGTTTACTGTGAATTGGAACCAACTTGATAGCACACAACAATGACAGTAATAGCATCAGAATCTGTCTAACAACTGGGGGTATAATAATCAGGATCAGAGCTAAGCTGATCCCAATGAGGTGAAGGTCAAACATACCTCCATCTTTCCCTTCTACAGCGCCCTCTGCTTTTTATTGTTTGATCATCCATTGCAATGGCCACACAGCTGACAGACTAAATTCACAGCTTACGTGGTTTATTAAGGAATAGGGTGCAACTCAGGATCAGCTTGAAGAACCATGTATGCAAAATCTCCCCTTTCTTGTCCCAGGACAGCTCTCTGGGCTCCTGTCAGCAAGACAAGCCTTCTCCCTGACTTGAGCACAAGCTCCTTTCTAAGCCCTACTCAAGACAGACTCCACTTACTCTCCTCAGAAAAGGGTCCTCTGAACTCTGGCACCTGTAGCAGCTGGCTCTGCCACTGGCTCCATTCCAGGTCTCTCACTGTCTTCAGCATTACAGACCTTGATTAGTGTTGCAGCTCTTTTAGGAGATACCTTGCATCCTCTCTCTGCTTCTTCTGTCTCCATTCTGCTTTTCTTCCTGCTTCTGTCTCAAAAATCTCTGTGGGACTGGCTAGAGAGGAGAGCGAGTAGAAAAGTATTGCTACAAAATCACCTCCCTCACTGTCACTGAGTTGATTCTGACTCACTGGACCCTATAGGGCAGAATAGATCGGCTCCTGTGAGTTTCCAAGAGATAACTCTTTACAGGAGTCAAAACCCTCATCTTGCTCCCGCAGAGCTGCTGGTGTTTCTGAACTGCTAATCTTGTGGTTAGTAGCCCACTGTGTAACCCACTACATGACTAGGGCTCCTCACAAAATCATAGCACTCTTTATTAAATGAAAATATAAAAATATGAAGGTTTTGTTTCTCAATTTATCCTTCATTAACATCTATAAACTTCTTTCTAACTATTGACTGCAGAATTCCACACTTTGAGTTTTTTCTTTCTTTCTTTCTTTCTTTTATTAATCATTTTACCAGGAGCTCTTACACATATCTGACACATATCTACAATCTATAATTCAGTTAGGTCAGCATAATTTTACAATTACTACCATTATCAGTTTCAAACATTTTCTTTCTTCTTGAACTCTTTGATATCAGCTCCCTTTATCCCCTCCATCCCCCACTTTACCCCCTCCCCCTGGAACCTTTATTATTATGTTATTATTATTATTTGTCATATCTTCCACCATCCAAAGTATCTGTTCACCTGCAATTCATTCTCCTGGAGTGGGGTTATACAGTCACCATTGCTATCAGCAACTCCTTCCCTCCCCTTTCCTCTCCCCATATCCCAGACACTCAGGGAATCATTACTTCTGTTACTGTTTCTGATGGGTTATCTATCTTGGCTTTCATGCATCAAATGCTCTCAATTATACAAATGGACATAGGCAGGTCTAATACAATTAATGAGGTAAACAAAGACCATAATAGTAAGGGGAAGAAATATTAAAGAAATAGAGGATAGTTAAGGGTTCCATCAGAGCTATACCACTCCCTAGATTTATCACCCCTTCCATGTGGCCCTTCTGTGAGGGCCTTTTTTATTTACACTATGTCAAAAGGGCAGTTTTAACATCCTTAAGGGATCCCAGTGTGTTTCTTTTCAATAATTTTGTTTGTTTGGGGAATAAAAAGAAAACAAAAGGGACAGTATCAGGGTTGTAGGGTGAATGGGGTGTGACCTAGTCAGTTCCAACGTACGGTGACCCTACATACAACAGAATGAAACACTCACTGTCAGGTCCTATACCATTCTCACAATTGTTCTTAAGTTTGAGCCCACTGTTACAGCCACTGTGTTATTCTATCTTGCTAAGGGGCTTCCTCTTTTTTGCTGCCCTTCTACTTTGCCAAGCATAATGTCCTTCTCCAGGGTCAATTTAAGAGGATTAAGATTGAAGGGTGGAGTTAAGCCTTTAAATCAGGATGACCTCATTTGGAGGTGTTAAGGAGATAAATAGCTCACTGGAGGCAGGAC